TTTTGCAGCAGACGATCGTGACCAATGATAAAGAAAAATCGGTGGAGGATGGTGATGCCATTGACAATTATGGTGCTAGCGCTCATTGTAATGCTGATGCGGTGGGAATGGTGATAATGGGCCTAATTAATGAAAAATGCTGCTGATGGTGCTGATGGGGATGCTGACTATTGTGCAGGTCTTACTCGTCGACGGCGAAGAGCCCGACGACGACTACGACAACGACGACCACGATGCTGCCAATGTCGCTGCCGGCTTTTTGCTAACACCACCGCTGCTGCTGCTGCTGGTACTACTTCCACCCCCAGCATGCCAAACACTGCGACCCTATCGTGCTAAGCCTTGCGGCTTGCATTTTCTGCCGACTGCACATAGACCCGGTACAATATGGACCGCACTACCGTTGAGGAATCACGTAGAGGCCACCATAGTATACAACACCCCCGCCGTCGCCATGACACCAACCACACTGCGTCTGAAGCCAGTCGACACGCGCTGGGGGCCTGCACAGGACGGTAAAACTGTCAGCTATCATTACCATTATGGAGACTGCTCATGCGACAATTTTTGGTTAGATTTACGACGGTTGCATCGGATCTTCCGTATGTCTATTCTGATGGATATGAGCAGTGCGACACTTCCCGCTGCTCAGATTGCCTGCTAGTACTGCTGTTGGCACCGGCAGCTGCAGTCATGAATCGTTACGTATGTTTCATACTTGGGAAGACAATGCTTATCTTTAACAAGTAGGAGGACTCATACTCACAGAACAAACACTCTTGTTGGCCTCAGCACCCTCCCGGGCCGTCGTCTGCCTTGGCTGCTGCGATGTCGGGAGAGTGTTTGGTCCCAGGTTATAAGTATAGAGAGACACATATACACGTGTGTATATATAAAGCGTACATATAAATAACTATATATATATATATATATATGTATGTATATATATATATATGAATATATTCAGTTATATACGTATGTATAGAAACGGATATGTGTGTATATAGTGTATGTGTATATGCATGTGTATATATATATATGCATTTTCATGTATTTATAGATGTCTGTACCGCAGTAATTGTCCTAAAGCCGCCAACGCCGTTGAATATGCAAGACGTGCTCCACGGCATGTCGAGAGCCCAACTCTGAACCAGCTATCCATTCTCAGCTTGGCCTCAGTCTGCAAACCAGAGAACTTCCACCTGAACTGCTATATCCTAAACTTTCCTAAACCCTCAGCCCTTGACCTGCTGAGAATCAGAAGCTTCTGGATTCTGGAGCCGAACGCCGAAAAAACAGCAACCTCGGTACTGAAGCCCTATGGCCTGTATGAGATTGGAATCTCTCTACCTCGAAGCCAGACCCCACATCCTTAACCACACTCCGAGCTGCAGAAAGCCGCAGGCGGTGCAGGTGTCGCCCTCCCTGTAGGAATCCTCTGTCGTCGCGGGGGGCATGGGAGCCCCGTATTTCAAGAGGGTTCTTGCAGGACATATTCCGACATATTTATTTGTTCTTCAGGGCATCGCACTTACCTCTTGACCAGCTTTGCAGCTTTCTTCGGGCTCTGGGGTAAGAGCTGGCAGCTGCAGGGCTTAGGGCTTAAGGCTGGTATTTGGAGCTCCTGAGGGTTCAGCAGGGCATTTTTCAGGACAAGCAAAGTGTGCTGAGCCAGTGAAGCTGCTCCTTCTTTGCTGCTTCTTCTGTCGCAGACTCCACCCCCCAAGACTCCGAGTCAACCTGAGGGCCGCTTTGAAAAGCGGCCCAACAAGACCTTGAAAAACGAAAAGAACCTCAGAGACTTGGCTGCGTTGCCTTGGGGCAGACGCACTGCTCTTGGCCGCTGGACCCCTCCATGGATGTCGTGAAGCCGGCCTGGAGGGCAAGCCAGAGAGCGCGCCCGAGGTACACGTGTTATCTAATGGCCTAGTTACTAGTTTCTATACTTACGGACATGGCTCGAAGTGTTTCAATCTCTAAGCTCTGTGGGCTACACTGCAGGCCGTCATAGGATTCCGTAGACCTTTTGTTCGGGATTGGTAGTGCCAACTTCCGACTTGTTTGAGATTCTGTGTCTCTGCAGCAGCTTTCATAAAGTCCAGAAAAGGCTGTCTGCACTCGCAGCAGCTATTTCGAAAACTGCTTGCCATTCTTCTAAGTTCAAGATGCACTTCGATGACTCAGGGACGTAAACCCCAAAAAGACAAACTGCGACCGGGGGATTGGAACCCCTTCGTCTACTCCTGTTGGTAGCTGGATATGAACTTTGCAGAATCCATGGAGATCGACGGCAACATGGGAAAGCCTAGGACTTTCGCATGTCTGAGCCCCTGCCGGGATCAACCCCGATTCAAGGCTCGCCCCCCCTTAAAAGTGACTCCACCCGGAAGAACTGGGAACCCAAGAAAACCCTCGCGGCCATAGCAAACCTCGAGACCCCAACACCCACACCCCTATGTTCCCACACCGGAGACCTGGCAATGGCTGCAGGACGTCATGCCGAAGTCGTTCGCGTACCTGCAGAAGGAGTTCGGGCTGAAGAACAAACACCAGGACAATGAACGACAAGGAAGAAGAAGAAGCCGGTTGGGATAGTCTGGCTCAAGACATCTCAAGAACATGGACAGCGAAACGAAAGAGAACAGGAAGGCCGATTCCTAAAGCCCTGAAGTCATCGCCTATGGAAGTCAGACCTTGGATTCCCAAGCCCTAAAACCCCGAACCCTAAACCCCGACTGAAACCCCAAGAGAAACAGCCCGACGAAGACGAGTTGAGTCTCTGGGTTTTCGGAGTTTGAAGGCTCTACGTTTCAGGAGCAGGAGCGATACCCTGCGAACATCCACCTAGAACCCATATTTATCCAAGTCCCAGTCCGAGGGTCTCCCCAGATCTGCAGGGCGTGCACTTCGAGGCCGCATCCTGATACGCAGGCGTCCGCAGTGCTGGTCTGCATGTAGATGCATGCAGATGCTGGAGGACTTGGAGCAGCATTCTGCATGGATTCTACACTCCTTGAACGATTCCCGAACCTCCGCCCTGAAATCCGGATTTATGGCCCCTGTTTTGCCGGGTTCAGAGTATTCCTTGAAGATATGACTGAGGGCGGAGCAGGAAGATCGGGGTGACAAGACGTGAGGCGCTGAGAAGTCGAGCGATGTAGGGTTGTCAAGGTATTGGCGATTTTTGTTAGGGGGTTTAGGCTTGAGGCTTGGTTTAAGTGAGGCTTTTCCTCTTTGGCTCGATGCTGAAGGTGCGGGTGCTTCGAGCACCTGAACTCGTGGGGATCCGACGTTGAGAGCGGATCCGCGTTGCAAGCAGGCTGCAACTGGCATTGTAAGCGCGCTCGTTCGGATTACAGTTTTTCTAACTCCACCGAGAAGCTACTTGCCAAGTCAAGCAGGCAAAGTCCTTCACACCGTACCTTTTCTGGTCCGAGTTTAAACATGAAGCCCAGTGCCACACACTCCCCAAACCTGAACAACCGCAGCCTGCACTCCTGAACCCTAAACTTTAAACCGTACATCCTGAACCCCAGCTTGATCCTTAGCCGGAAGGAAAACCTGGACATCTCTTAACATTCTCAAAGTGTGAAGCCCCAAAGCCCCGTAAGCCGTCTCCTCGCTACTGATGGTTCCTGGAGCACAGCTCCGGCAGGAAGTCTGGGCAGCCTGTCGGGAAAGACCGTCTTGGAGGCTTCCGGGCTCGGGCAGGATCTGGGATTTAGGGTGCACAGTAGGATCAAAGGCCTTGCGCTTGGGGTTCAGGAAAGAGGCTTCAGTGTTTGAGGTCTGTGGTTTCCAAGCTGCCAGCAGAGAGTTGCGATTGGTTGTTTGCAGCGGGGCCAGCATGAACCTTGGACGGAAATGATAATGCCTCCGTGAGATTATAGTTGGCAAAGTTCGAACTCGGCACACGCCCCAGCTGAACAAAAGGCGAGTTTGTTTGCCTGGAAGATCATACTCCCACAAGGTCTCACAAACCCGGAGCAACAAATTCAAAGATGTAAATGCCTTTACGGGGTCGTTCTACGAATAGGATCCTGCTACATGAACGTAGACAATTAGACTCATCAAAGTCTAGCCCAAATTTTCTACTCTCTCCATAGAGGGCATGCCGATGTGTGCTGCAGGGCCGTGAAGAGGCCCAATGCAGTTTGCACATATGGGACTCGCGACCTGAACTTGCTTCGGCTCCAGGGCTAAGGGGCCGAGTTTCAAGAACCCCAACACAGTACTTGTTCGCGGACATGCATCCCAGACTGCCCGGCGCGAAGCCCTAAACCCCTCTGACCGCCGAAGCGAAGCTCAGTGCTGGGCCTCGTTGTTGAAGAACCCGGCGCTGCATTTGGTACACTGCGTCAGCCCACTGAAGCTGCTGAACGCACCCACCGGGCAGATTTCACAGCGGCTTTGCCCCATGGAGTCTGCATAGTAACCTGGCAGTGCTTGAGCAATTTTACACTCTACAGAGCTTTGACCTCTGATTCGGAACTCCGTTCCCATCAAACGGATTGACAGTTCTCAAAGCCATCTGAAGCTTACAAACGTTGTACAGCACGGATGATACGCGTGTTCAATTTGACCTCCCATAAACTGTAATACTGCAACATAACACTCGCATGGAGACCTGAAGCAATCTTTAGCTTCTAAACCCAAGCCATGAAAACGTTTGGGACTTTGTCTACCAATCTAACCTTGAGCATAAGAACCTTGAAGAACACCCCAACAAGCAACGCCATAAAGCGAACACTATGCGCGAACTCATGCACATTGAACCCTGCGCCCCACATGCTTGAACTCAACAACACAGCACCGACATAAAGAGACAGCCTGCGCTGCAGTTGGTGCAGGCCCTCTGGCCGGCCGTGATGGAAACCTGCAACACACACTTCGAGCTTTGAGCGCTTAGAGCTTCGCTGAGGCGTATCTCAACTGACCTTGTGACGCCTTGTAGTATTCATGCCTAGGGTGGTAATACACCTGCTCAGTAAACTCAAACTCTAGGTTGCAAGCTTTGTGTTTCCATGGCTCTGACTTTGTGGGGGCCCTCCGCAGGAAAGAGCCTGGCCTTCCCGGGCGCACAGGGCGAGCAAACGCCATCCTGCGATTCGTTCGCAAAGCCCAGAATCCATCAAGATCCCAGCGTCGCCAGAACTCGACTCGCAAGCCCTGGACGCCCCTAAGCCTAAACCGGACTCCTGGTCCAGGGAGCCACCGGGAGGGCAGAAGATGCAGCGGCGCACCCGCAGGGAGCGATTCCACAGGGAGAAGGAGCTGTCGGGACACCTGCAACCGGGGTGCCTTTTTCGTGGCTTTGGCTTCGGACAGTCGAATTGGACCGTTTGGGTTGCAGGGCTTCAGGTTTCATTCTCGGGCTTGAGACTTGCCAGCTTTTTGGAATAATCCCTTCTTCCCGCTATTCCATCGGTTTCCTCTTCAAGGATGCTGAAGAAAGTGCTGCTTTGGTGCCTTTTATCGTGTTGGTGATTCTCAGGCTTGGGACCTTTGGGTGTTTCGAGTAAGGCAGTGAAACCTTCGAGGCGGTTCTAAGGTTCGGGATCTCAGGGGCTTGGATTTGCTTTTGCCTCTTTGCACCTGCTGCAGCACGCTCGAAACGTGCGTCGGCCTACAGCCGACAGCCTAAACCCCCAGTGCCCAGCAGCCGGCGCCTCACACAGGTCCCAGACTCATCGTTCCCATAAGCGGAGGGCGCCTCCCGAGCCCAGTGCTGGGGGGGGGGGCTTCTATAGAGTTTAGAAAGCCTTCTGACAGTGATTTTGGGGATTTGAGCTTGAGGGTTTCACTTCCAAGTTCGCGCGCTTAGGGCAAGACCTTCGGGCGTTTGGAGCCACGGTTTACAGGAGAGGCCTAGCCCTAGAACCTCATTCTGGTGTTGGGGTGAAGGCTCCCGGCTCTGAGGCATCAAAACAACTTGCGAAGATGCAACAACAAAAGCATGCATTGAGGCTTTGAGGTTTTTGGGGGGAGTCTGGAGTTTGGGCTTGGCTGCTAAGCATGTTGGGATGCGGTTTGGGGTCTGGGGTAGGAATATATAGAATGGTGTCCTTCAGTTGAACTTTTCCATTCCGTAAATCAACACCGTGAACAAAGTGACAAAAAGCTCGTAACCCTGAACTGGGCCCTGGTACTTATCTGTACAAGTTGTCAAGTGATGTCATACCAACGAGCACATGATTTCTCAATCGATCTCGGGATGAATAACCCAACAAGCACTAGAGACAAAAACCCTAATAAAACAAGAACATATCCAGAAAAACACCTTAATGGTAACTCGAAAAGAGCCCTAAACACGAACCACCGACTGCCTCGCTGGCACACTGCCGCTCTGAAGAGGAGGGCATAAGCCGCAAAGGCGCGACCGCCTTGTGCAAGGGCGACACGACCACCGGCGGCATGCCCACCTGACGAGGCGTTTTGGCGTTAGGGTCATCACTAATGGGGCTGAAGCCAGGGTTCTATACTCTATACCAAAGACCTGCTACAACTGGGAGTTTGGATGCGGTTTCAAAATTGGGGTCTGGCTCTAGGACGCCATGCCCCAGAGCAATGCGCCTCGAATATGACCCTCCACTTCACATCAATGTCAAGATCCCCAGCACGGACTTATCTTTTGTACGAAAGGGGAGTGTCTACAAGCCCATGAACACTTTTGTTAACCGGAAGCCTAACCAGATCCGCGACACCGGAGCCCTGAATCTTGCGACTCAGCTTTTTCTGGACTTGCTCACAAGCCCTCAGCTCGAAACTCTGCACAAAGGCCTCTTGTAGCTGAACAGCCTTGAAATCCATGGGAGTTTGGCCGTGCTCCTGGGACAGGGACTAGTCACTAGTCTTGACGGGCACGAGAATGAGAGTCTGCAGCTGTGGCTTCGATGTTTGGAGTGTTGAGCTTGAGGGTGTCAAGCTCAACATAACTGTTTAAGCTGTCGAGCTTCGGTGCAGGGGCGTAGCGACGTAGGTCCTTATGTGTGGCTAGAAACGTCTATGAGCTGAAAGGGCTCTTGAGGGATTTCAAGCATGGGTTTCGGTTGCTTGGCTCGGGGAACCCAGCATCCTAGTCTGCATTCGGGTTTATGACTATAGCCCCTCGCTGGTCGCAGGTTCAGCTTGACGGCTGCCCCATCTTTTCAGGTTCAGGGTTGACCAAACCCAGCTTCGGAGATGCTCTCAGGAACCCGGGACGCAGGTTTGGGATTCAGGCTGAGGCTTTGGGCTTTAAGGTTGCGTTCGGCATTGGGGTTCAGGGCTTCCGGAGCTTTGGCCTCCATGGACTCAAGAAGATGTTGTCTAAACTTTAGGGAACTTGACTTTGAAGCGCTGTTCGGCGTCCGAACGTAGCGAGCTGTGAGCACATGCGTCTTGCACGGCGACTGAGTCGCTCACATATGGGATCCAGGACAGAAGAAAGAAAAGAAAAGAGAGCATAGAGCCGTGCGCCGCCCCGAACTTTAGGGAACTCTGAGCCACGAGATATTGAGGCCGGGGTCGTCAAAGGAGACTCGGCCGTACAGTGTTTCCAGGTCCAGCCGTTGCCTGGGGCATCTCCGAGCGTGATGTCGGGATTCAGGGCCTCTTTAGATTTGGCATTAGGGACTGAAGGACTGAAGGTCTTTTGCAGATTTCGGTTTGGAATTCTGTGGAGTCCTCCTCGTGGGGACTTGTTGTACTCTGCTGCTCAAAGCTTTTAGGGCGTGGACTTTCTTGGAACTTCAGTCGTTGCATGGGGTTCGGGGTTCAAGACAGACCAGGGTAGAGGGCTCCAGGAAAGAAGGCCTCAGAGTGAAGGATGCAGCACTTTGGCTCGTGGTGTTGAGGGCTTGACTTTAGGGCTGCCCGGGCTGCAGGGTCTACGTTGGGTTCAGGGGTTTAGAGTCTAGGGCTTGTGTTCTCGTGCATTTGCAGCTTCAGGCTCATGGAGGGGCAAAGCGTTTTGGAAGCTTAGCTTACCAGGGCTCTAAGTAGCCGAGTCGAGCTTGCTTCTTTTAGAACTTCCTTTTAAACTGCCCTTGGAATCTACGCGCTAAGGCACGAAGACACCTGATACTACAAGCATCTTAGATCCCAGCACTCTGTCGGTTCAACCGAACGTGACCAGCTTCTCCCTGAATTCTACACCCGGCGCCCGGATTCAGGCACGGTGCAGCTGGGCGGAGACCACGGCTGGTTCCGTCGAGTTCGCCATCTCAACAGCCCTGCAGTGAGAGTTGGGCTGTCTACTCGGTGCCATGTTACACGCAAGAACTTGGTCTGGTCTGGGGTTGTAGCCGTGTTCAAAGAGCTCAAGCGAAGCAATGGCAGGTGACATCCCGCCGCATTTCTTGAATGCGGCAACACCCTGGCCCCGCCTCCCCAAGCTGACGATGGCAGCCCAGGCAGCAGCAGCTTGGTACGGCGGGTCCTCCGTGTACTTGGACCTGCGATAGAATCGCGTGTGTGTTCGAAGGGCTTAGGTGGAAGGTTCGAGGCAGTCCCCCAAGCCGAACCTGGCAAACCCACAACCCTGAACCATCAGACTCCCCCCCGACAGGGCGAGGCCTGTAAAGGGCGCCGAACTCTGCGGCAGAAAAGCCCGTCTCCTCCGACTGGTGTGGCATGGAGGGCAGCCACGAAGTCACCCCGGTCAGCCACCTCCCGACTGCATGGTGGCTGCTAAGGCTTTGAAAGATTTGGATTTCAGGGTGTGCCCTCGAGTTACAGCCCCTTCCGTCACGTCGGCAGCATCAGTATCCTTCAGAGAACATGTCTGGGAGGTAGCCAGGGAGCCTAGGGCCTAGGCCTAGGCATCGAGCAAAGCGATTTGAGAAGATCTGCGAGATCTGGGACGTTTACCAACCTCTAATACCTCCAGACTCTAAACCTTGACCTTGGCACGGGAACCCATAGAGCCATAGATAGCTTGTCAGGCGCAGGAACCGGATTCACAGCGTCGCTGCCGAGCTTGGCTCGGGCGAGTCTGCTTGAAACACTTCCACGCAGCCCTGAGCCCCAGACTCTCAAAGTTTACGGTTGCGGCGTTTTTCTAGCACTCCTTAGAAGCACGGTCATTGATTTTACCAGGATACGAGTTCCAAGAAGCCTACCTCTAAATCTTGAAGCCAAAGTCAGAGAGTCCTGCTGAAACCGCAACGGCCAAGCCAAGCTTCGAGTTCAAGGTGCTTTCGGGTCTAAACTTGCTTGGACGATCTCCCTACAGAACCGGAGAAAGCCCTCTTCTTCTTTGAGCTCTCTAGACGACATTTTGAAGGAGTGCTTGAGTTCGTATCCCCGAACAGACAAGGGCTTTGAGGCTACCTGGACCCAGACCCTGCAAGAGACACATTAAGGACCCTGCAACGTCGGTAGGAACTGGACATGATCGAGCCGGGCCTCCCCTTCGCCCCCAGCTGGGAGATGCTGTCCGACGTTACGCAGACCGTGAAGATCACTGCCTTTCGAAAACGGCCGAAACACTTGGGAGACTGGGTTTCGGGTTTTTTGATATAGGTTCGAGTGGAGGTGTGGGGTTTTGGGGTCGAAGGTCCGCAATTTGGGGTTTGGGTTTGGGCTCTGGTTCGGGGCCCCTGGCTCAGAACGGATCTGGACTTCAGTCGTTCACGGGCTCGTCGTTGCTTCTAGGCTTCGGCAGTCTAAAACCAGCCATGCTGCGGCCGAGGCTTCAGGTTTACAGACAGGAACAAAAGAGCGAAAGGAACGCGAAGCCACCGCTGAGGCTCCTAGCTTGCTTGCAACCATGCCTTCGGTTCGAACTGCTGCTCAAGCATCTCCTTTGGGAGTCGTTCGAGGAGCTTTTCGGCTTGGGAAAGTTGAAAGCCCGTTTAGGGAGTTTGGGGCTCAGGCTTCTGATTGAGCATGTCTGGGGCTTCGGTGTCGGCTTAAGGGCTTCAAGCCCCAGGTGCACGGACAACTATCCAGACGCGAAGTCCGACCCTATACCTGGTCTGAACACCCCGGGTCTCTCAACAGATGCCGGCACAATCTCTACATGTAGTTGAAGTGTCCAGATAACAGCAAGAACTGCCGCGCGGCCCTAAAGATAAACCTTCAGGCATTGTTCCGACCAATCATTTAGCCATCTCTACTGCTACCCCTGTGGAGATACGGGAGCTTCAGCCATTGCGGGACTCTGGTAAGAACCTCAAACTGTTGTATCCTTCATATAAGGACCACTACATTCCCTCAATATCAAGCACAACCCATCTCATATCAGCGTGTCCTCCACGAAGCTGCGGCACACCTGCTCGTAGACACACCCGAAAACGGCATCGGGACGCGCAGATTTCAGTCCTGCTACGAGATCCTGGAGAAGCATCACGGGGGCTTCGGCAATGGGGGTTAGGAAAGATAGAGATAAACACACTTAAATCATATGTAGAGCTTAAGATGGAGGGGAGCAGGGTAAGGAAGAAAGAGACCAAGTTACAATGGTTTTGGTGCTCAGGAGGTTTAGGCTTCAAGGGCTTCACGGTGACGGTGAGGCTGTGGGTGGAAGGCTCTGAGCCCCTGTTTTGTCGCGCTTTGCTTTGAGGACCTGGCTGGAAAGCTTGGGGAGTCGATCTGGGGACTCTGGGAAAACCCCGCACCCCCCTTGCTCTCGATCCCTAAAACCCCCGAAACCTAGCCTAAGGCCTCAGGGTATTGAATGTCCTGAAGTCAGCCCGACATGGCAGCGTCGGGTAACACAAAGGCGCTGAGAGCCATCCTCCCATAAAATAGGATCCTAGCAAAAAGGGACCCTGCTAACACCCGGAACTATCCTACTTACCATAAGGCTCCTTCACGACGGAGCCATTTGCGGAGAATGGGATCTCCCGGTTGCTTAGCAAGGTCATGTTGTACTCCGATGCGAGATCCTGAAGGCGAGCTGCGCTGATTAACACTTCCAGGGGAAAGGAGGGTCATTGGCATGAAGGTCCCAGGGATTTAGGGTTCAAGGCCCTTGGCGGATCTCGGTGCAAGGGCAGTATGCACAGCCTGAGCAAGTGGGGTAGCTAAAGAGCAAGCATGCCAGCCAAAGTCGTAGTATGAGGAATCAAGGTATAGCAGATCGTAGCCGTCACGCAGATGCTTGAAGTTATACTCTTTGGTACCTGTAGTTGGTGCAGCCACCGTCGCACCGGAAGCGCACGCTATGCGATTTCAGGATCCAGCAAGGTGCCGAACTTAGGGCTTCATCGCACTCCGGCACCCCAGATGGGCAACGCAGCGAAGAGGTGGGTTCAGGATTTGTGTGCTCCTGCAGACTTCCCCAGCAAAATGTGCAAAAGCGCAGCTAGAAAGAGAGCCTGAAAACGTTGCCGACGGTCCCTCAAACTCCCAACCTCACACTCTCAAATCAAGTTTGACCCTCCTGCAGCGGGCTGCAAACCGCCCTCGGACCGCCGCTGGCTTCGTAGAAACCAGCAATTGTCCCAATCCCGCTGGCAATGAGGGCCTCTTCTTGGCGTTTCGTATGAATGCATGAAGCTCGCAATCTGGCACAACGGGGCTCTTCGTTTCGCGGCAAGTAAGGCTGCAGGGCTTTGGGGGTCCTGGTCGCAAGCAATTTCTGAGGGCTGTCTCTTTGAAGGCTTGACATCTTTCAAGTCAAGCAAGAGCACAAGAAGCTTCATTGCAACAGGCCTCGAACGAGCCCCTCATATAGTTCCGCGCAGGCGGGTTGACATTGAAAACAGTCGGGCGATCTCTGGTGATTGCTGTGGAAGCTCCAGATTGAACCACCAACAAAGCACCAGAGCTGTTGGCTACATCTGCTGCCACCATAGACAGCCCAGACGAGTAGGTGCTGAGCCAAAGGCTCACACCATCGTAAACATGCCTCTCGAAGACCGCTCTCACATTCTCCGCCTCTGACATGTCGTTACCCACTCGTATCTCAACCGGCCTCCAGGTGCCATTCACAAGCAGACCGCCCCTTTCTTGAACCCACTCGATGTAGATTTCGTAGGTCTGCTTGAACGCGCGCCCGAAGCTCATGAACCTGTCAGGAAACTGCGAGCACTCTCGGAGTAAGTTGCTGGGGTGGCGCACTCCCAATTCGAAAAGGATTCGGCACCAGACCCTCAGCCGCAAACGCCTGGCAAGAAACGGAAACCTCCAAAACCACACATAGTTCACAACCCGATGACATTAAGAACAGCGAGGGCAACAGCTAAGCCTCTTAATGAAAATCGATCCACATCGAGAGACCTTTGCCTGTGAGCCTACAATAGGGCCTACAACACAAAGCGGGGCCTGCTACAGCAGTCCAGCGCCCCTGAGCTTCCGATGACAACCGGTGGCTCAGTGAGCCGACTGCTGCTGCGAAGGATGATGGAGTGGAACTCCTTGGGGCTCGGACGCTTTGGCGCTTCGGGGCGCAGGACTTCGGGATTTCCGCCTTATCCTTTCTAACGCTCGTCGTCCCGGTCCGAAGGCCTCAGTGACGACGACGACGACGACGACGATGACGATGATGATGATGATGATGTGCTTGTCTTTATGTATTATTCAATCATCTGCATCGTTTGCTATTTCCGTGCCTCACCTCCTGGCTTTCCTTTGTACGAGTATCGTGTTTTCTCTCTTTCGTCTGAAAAAAGCTACGCAATCCATAGGGCCTCGTCCTTCGCAGAACGAAAGCCCTACACTTGCGAGCAGCTTGTTTGCCCACATCGACTTTAATTGCTCCACCGGCTCCAGTGACTTGGCAGAGAAGGTGCTACGACAGCCGCCGGTCTTCCTGTGCCTTGATGATGATGACGATGATGCTGCTGATCGTGATGATAATGAACATGATGGCGATGGTGGTGATGATGGTGGTGATGCTGATGACGATGACTGTGTCGACGAGAGGGATGATCACGAGCATAGTTATGAGTGCCCCCGAATCTGAACATGATGATGGTTATGATGACGATGATGATGATGACGGTGGCCGGTGGTGATGATGGCGATGACGACTACGACGGCAACAACGTTGGCACTACTGCGATCGCGTCGAAGTACTGTGGCATTGACTAGGCTGAGGTCGATGCTCATGACTCAAGGTGCTAGAACTGCTTACGAGAATCATTGCACCGGAATCTGTTGTGAGAAACTTTACGGTTCTGCAAGGTTGATGCATTTATAATCTGTGGCTTGGAGGGTTGAGGACTTCTCTAGGAAGCAGGCTCCTAAGTAGTGTGGCTGGCTGCTCAATGTATTCCCAAAAACTTCCGAAGCCACAGAATGCACAAAATGTTGTTTCCTGCGCAGCAGCCCGTAAAAAAAAAAAAAGAAACAAGGCCACGCACAGTCACGGACGCACACGTACACAAACACACACCCGATTGAAACAACTTAGTTTGCCAGGGATCTGATCCAGAGATGTGGGCATGGGCTAGCAGGGTAGTCGCTGCTAGGAACCATCTCCCAAACGATTTCGGGAGCCTTGGCTGTGGGATGGGTTCAGGGTTTAACGCTTGGGTTTCAGAATTTCGGATTTGGGTTTTCCTTTCCCTTCAGACCGCAAACTTCCACGGAACACCAACCGAAACCACGGGTGCAGCACTACCCCTGTTCGCTTCGGGCTGGCAGGTTCCGATTTGAAATGCACAGTGCATTTGTTTACGTTGGGGCCCCTTTTCGAGGCGAGCCAAGTGCTCTTTGGCCCTGTTGCACAGACAGTGCTTGGTGCTGCACGGGTTTTCGGGTCATTCACGGCTCGTAAAATCCCGGCCCAGAAGTGTAGACCTAATCGACTACCATGAACCAAAACCATGTCCCCATGCCCAAACAGCTTGAAAGCCTTATGCACATCATCGTCCGCAAGGGCTCGGATTTCAGGGTCTCTAGAGTAGTCTTGGCTGATTGGGTGTTTCAATATCAAACTTGCTACACCTGTTATCATAATCACCAGCAACACCAGAGTGCTGCTCAGATGGAACAGAAACCCAAACCACCATCTAATCCTAAACCTTACTGCCCAAAACCAACCACCCCTCAACCCTATACAGGCAAATTTAGACTTATACGCCAGACCAAATCTCTCTCTCTCTCTCTCTCTCTGTCACCTTGCGTTTGACTTGCAAGCCCTTGCTGGACAGCAACAGATTTGCTTCGGAAACCTTGAAAAGCCCAAATCCGAGAAGGCTTAAAGTTTCGGAAGGCCCCACAATCCGACAATGCTCCAACATGCAAGCACCCAAACATCCTGATGCAAACTTCTGCTCCAAGATATGTTCTACGTGTTCCTTGCATGTCTAGTTACTAGTTTTTCTACCCAAAAAAAACGATAACACTATGATATTTGTGGCTAATGGCAACGACGAACAACCCATATCAGACCAACAACCACAACAATGACATATTGATGATCTCTTGATAAAGGCATCCCAGAAACCGGTCCATCATCTCATCGCTTCCAGGCAAGGGGGCGTGCCCCAAGCTCTGATTCAAGGATCACGGCATTTATTTCAGAATAAGCTGTCTTTAGGAACTGGGTTGGTGATTTGGGATTTCCGGGATCTGCATTGCTGCAAAGGTCGGAGGGCTTGGCAAACAGGCTTTGTCTTCGGTGTTGTTGAAGAAGGAAGGTGACGGAACGTGACCCCAGAAATCGGAAAACCCGTAACGGCAGTCGAAACGGGTTAGTGTAGGAGTGACCTGCACCGGCTTTTGGGAATGACTATACAATGTACACGGAGCCGTTGGCTGTTGCAGAGAACAAATGTGCACATGGGTTTCAACAAGTGCTTTCAAAAACGGAGTGATGGGCAGACAAATTTTTCACACTGACTGCCCAGAGTCGTGGCCTTGCAGCAGACACGGGATTCACAGGCATGCCAACCAAAATCAGTGAGGCAAGAATCGGAAGTTGCAGACATGTCAAGGATGTGAGCAATGCCAAAGTTTGAAACAACACAGGCTGTCTACTGTGGCCCATTTTCAAAACGGAATTTCAAACTGGCCAAAGCGAAAAACAAGATTGCCAATCTTTTCAAATGTAATCTATCGGAGTCAATATTTAGAGAAATGATTCAATCACAAATCAGTCCATCAATCTTGTATCAGACAAGACTGTTGAAATACATCCAATCATCTGAAAAGACTCTCTGTCTGGACTGCAAGCACTCTCAGGCGGACACGGTTTATTTTCGCACGACGGGGGATTGCACGTCTGTGAATGACGCGGCCCATGCCAGCTCCATAACCTGAACCTGCATGCCTCTGACTGCCCTTGCACATCAGAAGCGGTGCAACATTCCCCCCACGGTGAAAGGTGGGGTCAAATTTTTCAAATAAGAGCGCTCTGCCTTCAGAGCCCCAAAACCTGCATATGGAATGATTGATTTCCACGCTCCATGCAAATCACTAAAAGCATCACGGAGAGATTTTGAAAAGCAGCCGAAAAAACGAAAACAACAAAACGGCTCCTTTTCAAAGTTTCAAAAGATGGGAGTTTTTTGCTCCAGAGGTGACACATCGCCACCTTGTCCATTCATGTCAATACAACATGAGAACTGAGCATCGAGAAAACATGCCGATTAGATACACGCGAAAGGACGGTGAGCATCTCACCTGTTGTAAAACGCTTTACGGGTACGTTCCAAACCCTTTCTTGGTACACAGCTCAACAAAAGGGTTACCAGGGGCACACACTTCTGAGCGAAATGTTCGTTACCCCCGCTTGGTGCATCCTCTTTTCTCACTTCCCTTTTAGAGGTGCTACGAACCCAAAACCAGTCGCTCACCCCTCTTTTCAACACGTCGTGGTGCACTGCTTTTGTCGTGTGAAACGAGTGAGAAAAGAGCTACACTTACGGCCGCTCTCACTAAGCTCTTTACTTCGTTTCACTTCCTTTGGCTTTCGCCAACAAAAGAACTCACTTCCTCATTAGCGGATTTACCGCTTATCCAACACTAGGTCGGATCGCTTGTGAAACTTCCTCGGCAGCTGTGCTGCAAAACTCCTGGGGATGTTTTCCCCCTCTTCTTAAATCCCTCTTTCTTTATAGACCTGAGGAACGGTCTCTCTCTTTCAACCCCTTTCTCTTTTCAGCTCTTTGACTCTTTCTTGCCTGTGCCTTTTCCTTTCTGATTGTCCCCGCGATACTTCTTCTTGTTCTCTTCAAGCCTCTTGGCATACTCTCTTCTGACACGCGGCTCATTCTTCCGAAAGTAGGTGGTGAACTCAGCCACTGTCTTGTTCTCTCTTTCGCACCATGCCTTGTAGGTGCCGTTCTCGTCGTACGAATATTCACCATCCCAGCAGCTTTCCGCTGTGTGGCCGTATCGGCTACAGAGCACGCAAACCCGCGGTCCTTCTTCATCTTCAATCACTGCATGCTCCTCTTTCAACCTTTCAATTTCCTCTTCGAGCTCTTTGTTCGCTTTTCCGAGATCCTTTATCGTCTCTCTCACCCTCTTCTTTCCTGTTTTGCCTTGCGAAGCTCTTCTTCTTTTTCTTCGTCACGGGGAGGCGCAGCACTTGTGCTCTTTCCTTTCCTTAAACTTTCGCAACTCCTCGTTCAAGTCGTTGACTTCCTTTTCTTTTGCGTCTCTGAACTCCGCAAGCTCTTTCTCTTTCTGCTCCTTTAGCAACTTTAGCTCTGTCAACTCTTTTTCCTTTGCTCCTTTGCGTCGCTAGCCTCTTTCTCTTTTGCCTCTTTGATCTCTTTGATCTCCTTGGCCTTTTTCTTTTCAAACTCTTCCAACACTTTCTTCTCATCTTCACCCAGCTGCAAATTTAGCTTCTCCTCAGGAAGCTTCATCTCTTTGCGCTTTTCACGCAGCTCTTGCAACGCTTTTGCAAGCCTTGGCCGCATCACATCAAGCTCGCCGATAAGTTCGGCTTCAGCGTCCATCACTTGCGTTGCTTCGGCCTCCTGAACTTCTTCTTCCTTACGGATCGTACCCAACTGCTTTTCGATTTTCTCTTTTTCCACATAGGTCTCTTCAGCCACTTTCTTCATTTCTTCTTTCACTTCCGCCTCCTTCTTTATCAGGCGGTCCCTCTCTTCCTCTTTTAACACCTGCTGCTTTTGTCTGTAAGCATAATGCTCACTGTACAGCGTGAACTTCTTCCGCTTGTCATCTACCTTCGCTTGAAGGACTTTCATCTCTCCGATAATCTCTCGGACCTTCTCTTCCTCTTTTGTCAACGACTTCTTCGAAAACTTCTTCATGATCGTCGGCTGACTCACTTTCTTTGTCTTCTCTCTTTCTCTTTGTTCCTGTTTTCTCTTCCTTCTCCGAGCTCTCTTCGTCTTCTTTCTCCGGGCTTTCCTCTTCTTCTTTCTCCGAGCTTTCCTGCTCGTCTTCTTTCTGCTCTTCGGCCTCCTTTGGCTCTTCTTTGGCCTCTTCGGCCTTCTTTGGCTCTTCGGCCTCCTTTGGCTCTTCTTTGGGCTCTTCGGCCTTCTCTCTCTCTTTCTTTTCCTTTTCTTCTTCTGCTAGCACGTTTGCCTTCAACATATAATCCACACCTTTCCTAAAGCTTTTCCACAAGCTACTGTTGCACAACATGACAACCATCATGATCATCATCATCACCACCGTCATCACACCAGCACTGTCTTTACCACATCGGTCTTGTAACCCATCACATTGCTGAACCAGCATCATCATCACCAATCTAAAGTCATTTGCAACTCTGATCTCTTCTTTCTCTTCTCCTGTCCCTACACCGATCTTCTCCAAACACTTCACAACTGCGTTCCTTGACAACGCTTTTTGTCCCTACATCTGCAAGGGTTTTCCTTTCCAGCTATTGCTCTCACTTGAAGACCTACAGAGGTAAGCCTTTGTACCCAAAGCAGCCCAGCATCAATGTGCCTTGTCCTTCCTAGGCCTTTCTTCATGATGATTGATCTGGCGCTACTCGAATCCATCCTAATGACCATGTCACCCTGTGCAAAATGTTCTGCAGAAAAACTCCTTCACTCAAACCTCCAACAGCTGCTACCAGTTCACTCTCGCAGCTACTCAGGGCTGTTGCTTTTTGCTTTCTTGCATGGAAGTAAACGATGCTACTGTTTACAAAGATCAAGGCGCAGGTCGTTGACTGCCTTGTCTCACGATCGGTCGCCCAATCGGCGGCAGTCACTACTTCAATCAAACTCTTCGCAGTAAAAACATCTTTGTCCGAATTCTCAGTTCTCTTCTCGCTTGGATCCAGAAAACTCTTCCCGTGATATGACTCCTTGTGCTCAATCACATAGTGCGATGTTGCTTTCACGTACTTTGCGACGTGTCTTAACACGGCTAAGTCTCCTCGCGTTGGCACAGCCAACTTTCCTGACAACCACTTCGTCGCGAATCCCAGGTCTGGTCTCTCTGGCGTCATGTACAACAACATGCCAACACAGGACCTATACAGATGGTGCTCATCTGCATCCAAAGGCGTGTCGTCCTTTAGCGATCTTCCGTAATCCATCGGAAACGGCAACTTCTTTGGAAGTGATTTTTCCTAGTCCCAAAATTTCTTCAAGCTTTTCAAGGTACTTGCCATCCATCCGGATCTCAATTCCTTCAGCTGTTCCTAAGAACGTTCTCTTCAAGAAGGTACACTTTCCTTCGCCGACTTTCACCGGGCCTTCCAGTTTGATTTTCAACTTGTGCTTCAGCAGCAGATCCACTACTGCCTGGTTTTCTTCTGGTTTCCCAAACACTTCCAGATCGTCCAGGTGGGTACTCATCAGCGTTCCTCCTTCTCCTGGCTTCTCGGAGAACTTGTAGAAAAAACTTGGTAACCCCACATCAGAAACCATCTTTTCCTTTTCCAGGATCTCACGCAAATGCTCAAACCAGTCACTGCTTCTTGTTCGCTGACCTGGCAGGGTGTACTGCAGTTGGTACCACTTTCTTCCTAAACTCACAACCGTGTACTCCTTCTGTGGCACCTGAAGATAGGCATCCGAAATGTCTATCGAGATCATCTCGTAATCTCTTGAACTTGCACGCAAGGCTGACAACAGCTTGATACTCGAACCAATGCTCGTTGGTGAGTACAACGCTGCAAGGTCGTAGTCTGTCAACCATTTGTACTCGCGCGCGACTAGGCGTGCGCGCCTCTTCCATTGGAGATCCCTATGCCCTATGCCTCCAATCCAACACGTACTTAGTACTGAGTCTCTTTAGTTCTTCACCATTTGGTCCTCGCTTCAACTCTCCTTTCTCATCCAACTCTACCTCTTTGAGAACTTCCATCTTCAGCAGTCTCTCTATCTTCTATCTTCGTTTTCTCAGCTTTGAGGTCCACCTTCTCTAAGTCTTCTGCTTCCAGCTTCTTCGGTGGCCCATCCTCATATTCGTGAGACCAAGTGACCGTTAGGTCCTCCTCTGTCTCACACACTTTCTCGTTCCACTTGTTTTGGAACTCTCGCCTCTCTTCAAGAAACAACTGTGTCTCATCA